CAAAAGTTTACTTGCATTTGATAAGAAGATGCGTGGGCGAAAATTACATGTAAACAATTATAAGGCGATTTTGGCCATGCTCATTGCTTGTCTGGTTACTGGTATAGGGCTATAGCCAAGCCATTAAAATTAGAACACAGATTGCCTCGATTTTGCCAGGTGGGCTAAAAGCAGACTACACGTAGCCCGTCCAATTTAGAGCTAAATCGTGGCTACATATAGACCATGTCATGAAATGACACTATATCTTTGTAGATATTACTGACACTGCGAACATGATGGGATATCAACCATCTCATGCGCTGCCTGGCCAAAAACTACAGTGAATCAGGTTTGACTATAAGTGGGCTACAGATAGTCGCTCTGACTACAAGCTAAATCGTGGCTATGCACAGGCTACGTATTGAACATGTCAAAGAAATGAAACCAAACACCTTGTAAACACTGTTGACTATGCTTACATGATTGAAAATCATACATCTCACAAGTTATTGTGCCAAAAACGACATGAAACCAAATTCAAGGTTATTTGGGCTAGAAGTGGGTTACACATAGCTGGACTTTATCAGGTCTATACTTAACCGAGACATTGAAATGACGGCTATTGCTTGCTGGGTGATGTTGCGGCAGACGCATTCAAAATGAGAAACTGACCTTTGGAACTCATTACGCTTCAAATAAATGCATTGGATGTCTAATTCATTCAATCAAGAGATTCGTTCAAAAACGATCAAATCAAGTTCATTCATTTATTTCAAATATTTATTATTTATTTTTTACATATATTGTTAATAGGCTCATTTATAACATTTTAGACTTATTTATAACAATAAATAAAACATTTTGTAAGAAACCAAAGTGAATTAGCCTATATATTATTTTGTTTTTGTCAGTATGGCCGCTGCCATCTTGAGTAAATGACGTCATTTGGAGCCGCGGTATCAAACTCCCGCAGACCCAATCAACCATAAAGACACGCCCCGCGTTTATAGCATCAAATTACTAGCTAAAATCAAACGATTTTGTTTTTGTCTAATGTTTTGTTTTCAGAATCGTGGGAGAACCGTGATCTCTATTCTAAAAATCAATTATCCAGAGTCATAGCTTAATAAATATTATCTGGCATCTAACTAATAGCCTACTATTTTTACTGTTTCTAATAGCCTATTAAAATGTAGACTAGGATGTAAAATGTACAATCTTACAGACTTTATGTAGTACAACAACAAGGATTTGGTACATTTATAATGCATTATAATGCCGCTTCTCATCCAGTGTCATCCGCGATCCATGGGTGTCAACCATAGACTGTAAAAAAAGATGGACGACGCATCTTCTTCTTCTGATGCTACCTTAAATGACCAAAACCATCTTTCTGAAAATTGTATTGAAAGTGTAATTTATATTTTTATTGTGACTCAAGTCCCATTCGTTTACATGGAGAGGGCAGGGTTTATGACCTGTACTGCAGCCAGCCACCAGGGGGCGATCAAAGCAGCTTCACTTTTCAGGACGTGTGAGGCACACCCAGTGTCAACCATAGACTGTAAAAAAACATGGACGTAGTGTCCGTGACGTCACTCGTAGGGTTCTGAAGCCTAAAGTGGGCGGAGCCGACCGCCGCCATCTTGGCAGCGCGTCAGCGTGCGTCACTCCCAGATAATCGCAAAATGGGCAAAAATGGGCAACTCAGCCTAGGCGCTAGTTGCTGAAACCATTTTTAGATCGCTCAAATTAAGTTACGGTGCTCTGCATTTGTTTAGTCGTTTGTCAATATTACTGTGCCAGCCTGGAGTTGTACGGCATTCTGCCTTTGTTTTAATGTCCATTAAAGTCTGCTGCGTTTAAATTACAGTGTAACTTGTGTACTTTCATACATCTGTCGGCACTTCTTTAGACAAACAAATTAGATATACCGCGATCTAACAAACTGCTCCATATAACAAAGCACTGTAAACAAGCAACGACTAGATAACTTGGCAACAATAATTAATCGAAAATAATCTTTCAAGTTTTTCTTTCTTTTTATAATGCAGATGCCAGCTCTCAGTCTAGGGCTGCACACTTCTGCACGAGGAGTCGAATGCCATGACAGCATAGGCTATCACATAAAATCAGTTACTGTTCGCAATTAAATCCGTTTCCTACCTTTTCTTGTAACTCGATAAAAAACATTGCAATGAACGTCATCGGAGATGTTTAATTCACAATCATTCTGAGCATTATTCCTGCTGGCGTTCACATCAATCCACACGTCCTTCTTAGGTTAAGCTATTTTCATTCAGTTCGATGTAAAAACAATAGGCTAAGTATGTTTGCATCCTTTAATGTTAGCGAACATTGCAAATAAATTGGTTGCAAAACGGTATCCACTCACGTTTAACTTTTTGTCTGATTGTTTCGGTCAGAAAAAAAATGGAATTACATTACTATATGTTATAGCCTAGCCAATGATCACTAGATTGTATACAGATGTTACTATAATGATTCTGTAAATGGTGATCAGCACCCAAATATTGTATATAATGTGGAAGCTACTGCCTTTTGCCTTGGCGTGACATCTCACTTTTTGCAGACATGTGCAAAAGGCAGAGTACCTACAAAAACTTCAAAATAGCGGTAAAAATCAAGTTTGAGATCATTTTCATTAAAACATCTAATTGCCAGATTTCCAGTGTCCTACCCATGATACATTTTTTCTGGACAAATAAAAATCTTTAAAGCCATTTTTCTAAGTTTCACAGTCTAGCGAGTTTCACACTGGAGCAGAGCGGCAGTCCACCTGCCACGCCCTTAATTATGCAGAAATGTAAGGCTTAATATAATTTAAACGGATGACTTATAAAAAAATTCACCCCCTCACAGTTGTCATGAAGGGCAAAATTACCTATATAGACCAAAAGCACTTTTTGTACCAGGCTGTAAACATATTTTTTTCTGCTGTAAAGTTGGGCATTTTAACATGTGGAGTCTATGGGACTGACTCCCTTTTGGAGCCAGCCTCTAGCGGTCAGTCGATGAACTGCAGTTTTAGTCACACTGTATTGGCTTCAAGCGAGAGACCGGGGCCCTGTCCCAAATGGCACCCTAAACCTTCGCGGTCTTCTTCTGAGTCCGCACTTTCGTGACGTAATGCCGCTTTGACTGTCGGGTAGAAGTCTGCTGCGGAGCTCGCCCCAGTGCGGGTTTTAGCAGAAGTGCGGATCAAGGGCGCATAACGGCCGCAAAGGCTCGCGAGCACCCTTCTGAACGCTAAAATGACGAATGGGACACCGGACACGCGCACGCGGCGGCCATTGTAAGTCCGTAAGACCGCAAGTGCACATGAAGTGTTCCATTTGGGACATGGCCCGGGAGGTTGCCTCTTGGTGTCAACAGATAACGAGTTCCTGGGCAGAGGGAACCTGGGAAATGGAGTCCGGGGTGAGTTGAAACGGTAAGGGATGGAGAGCCCTCTAGTGGAGCTCATGGGCAGCTGGCGATCGTAACAGCCTATGTAAAATAAAGTAAATAAAAGCCTTTTAAATTTATGAACAATGGATATAAAGTATGACCTCTCCACAGAGCACAATAATTTGTATCCATCTTTAAAACACTCTCTACTCATTTATGCTTTTGAATCATAAACATCAAAATCTGTTACATTAAGTAGGCTAGTATGTTTCCCTCTAGGCAATGTTCAGTATCTATTGTTGCTCTTACACACATAAAAAAACTATCCACTAACATCCACTGACAAAGAGCTTTCACACTGATGCGGTGTGTGAAACAGAATTGTGTCAATGCAATAAATGAATAAGTAGAATAAATTAGAATAATTCTTCAAGCTAAGAGGTAAAAAAATCTTAAAGGGGTGGTTGATTGCGATTTCACTTTTTTAACGTTAGTTAGTGTGTAATGTTGCTGTTTGAGCATAAACAATATCTGAAACGTTACGAAACTGAAAGTTCTATGCAAACGGATATATCGTCTTTTAAAATTCTGGCAGTTTAATGCCTACAAAAATGGCTGGTAGGAACTACAACGAGTTACTTCCCGGGTTCGTGACATCACAAACCCAGATAAAACCCGCCCTCGGGAAAAGGCAGCAAAGGGGGCGAGGCCATGCTGCGCTGCTTTAGAGAAGAGAAAACTAGAGGTGCATGTAAAAATCTGTTAAAACATAAGCAGTAGCATTTACACATAACAGCGAAATATGAAAAAACATAGGCCTACCATTAAAAGCCTTGCTTGCACAGGTTCTGCACGATCCTCTTCAATAATATCCTCTGCTTCTCAATCGGGCTCAAACTGATAAGCAATATTAACGACGCCGTTGTTTACAATACAACCGGAGCACATGCCGCTGAGGTGAGGGGCGGGACGTTTAGACACGCACTAGAGGCAGTTTAGCCAATCACAACACACTGGGCTAGCTAACCAATCAGAGCCCATCACCTATTTCTGAGGGTGGGGCTTCTTAAAAACAGGCCTTAAAAACAACCCAAGCATTTGAGACAATGAGTTTGTGGACTGGCTAATTAATATTACATTGCTTTATATTTTCCATTTTTTATTTGAGGTATAAATTTGAGGTAAATTATTTATATGTCGAACAATGGTAATTTTCTGCGAATCTGTACCAGTTATGGATTCAGGTGAGCACTATGGTGCCTGCACTCTGTGAATCGTCATTATTGTTCCACATTCTCTTTGGTTTGTTGACCACTGTCCATGAATTGCTCATCCAGGTGGAAAAATGTGCTTGGTGTCAGATCTCGATTACCGAAAATCACAGAAAAATGTTATAACTGAATATTTTTGTGTTTTCTCAAGCAAAGCAAGTTTTCAAAGACCACTGAAAACATATTCTTATATTTTTTCAATAGACAAAGTAGGCCTATTTGGCAATATTCTTGAGCAAACTGATCAAAGTTGACATTTTTGAAGATTTTATTATTCAAGTTTTACAAAATAGAAAAAGTGATATTTGTATAATTCTTTTTTAATTTTGTCTTGAGCAGGAACAGGAAAACCATGGATTCTGCAATTTCAAAATCTACTCAAAGCCTTACTACTGCTGAGGACATGAGGAATGAAACCAAACTTATGATGCAGCCCTATGCCAACTGGGAAGAGTATCTGACTCCAGCACCTCTATCCATAGCAATCCTGGGAGAGCTGGTATTCATCTCGTCCTCAACAGATTTCTCTATCAATAAAAATTCACCTAAAGATGGCTATCAATTCATCAAATACCCTGATTCTTTCCGCGCTTGCCTCATGCAAGTGTGTAACTCTGGCTGGTGGGCATTTAATGAAGCCCATACGAGCATGGATCAGATTCGCCTCCATACTGCCCAAGTTCCAGATTACATGAAGACTGCTGTGAAGATTCTGTTCCAAGGCGATGATGAAGTCATCAAAGCTCATCTTCCTGATCAGCTGGACAATATCAGAGTCATTGCAGATGAATGTCTTGAGTTGTCTGATGCAACTGAAAAGCGCTTCACTGATGTCATCAATATCATTCAAGAGCTGCTGGAGGCTTGTGTGAATGCAGAGCACTTCTATGGGGAAGAGATGGAAGCCGTTAAGAAGAAGCTGGAAGAGAGTAAACTGAGGGAGCAGTCAGCTCAAGAGACCAAGAAAAGGACTGAGAAGGCAGTGAGTGCCATGGAGAAGGAACTGGATCAGGCTCACGAGGGCTACAAGAAAGCTATGGATTCTCTCCCTAGTGGATGGAACATGATTGCCATGGATGTGGTTGGTGGGATAACACAGAGCGTTACAGGCCTGATTAATGGACTGACATCTGTTATTACTCACCCAGTGAGAAACATGTGTTCTGCAACAACAAAGATAGCTGATACTTGGAGCCACATTAGAGATCAGGAAAGTGTAACAGACATGATTGCTGAAATAAATGCATATAGTAAATCTGCTGAAATTTTAAAATGTGTCCAGAATATCCAGCAGCTGATGAATGTGGAAAGTGAGGATGATGACATTGACTGGAAAAAACTATACGATCAGAAGAAAAAATGTACAGAAAGTGATTTCATAAACAGACAGTTCAAAAGAATCACTGATGGTTTAAAGAAAATACCTGACTGCCCAGCAAAGAAACAAGCTCAGAAGTTGTGCAAAAAGGGCATGGAAATATGCAGCCAGCTGGAAAAATATGCACCTGATGGCAAATGTGACAAAGACAAAAGCACTAAAATAATACAAGAGGTCTTGGATCTGATTGAGTCAGCTCAAATTTTTGATTGCAAAAGCAAAGACATCACAAATTCTCCAGCCATTGCTCCAACACCTCCAATGATGTATAAAGAAGGAAACAAGTCAGAGAACAGGAGTCCTTCTCAGAAGGCCACGGAGAATGCACGATTCTCCATAGAGCAGAACCGAGCTCAGTTGAACAAGACAAGAGAGACTTATGAGAAGTGTGTGGAGAACCTAGAGAAGAACCACAAGGAACTAACTGAAATCCTGGTCACTATGAGAAATTGTGAACTGAAAGAGATCGACTTCAATACTACCATACAGATGCTGGTCAAAGGAATGGATGCCATGGGGAGAGTGAAGGAGCAGTGGGAGAAGATGGTCCACTTCTTTCAGATGGTTTCCAACATTGTGAAAACCAGCCTGAGCAAAACTCTCACAAACTTTGTCTCAACATCTGAGAAAACACAAGCCCTCTCCTACAATGCAAAGCTCTTCTCAAAAGATCTGCTCTATACTCAAGCCTTCCAAGCCTGTAACATCGCTAGTCTAGTCCATATGATCTCTGGAACATACACAGATGTTTCCAGCAAGTACCTGATGGACCGTGTCAGTTCACTGGGCAAACTAATGGCCATGGATAAAAGTAAGCCAGAATTTGAGCGTGAGCGACAACTGCTCCAGAACTCCTGTGATGAGGCACAGAAGGGCATTTTAAGGCTTGTCCTGAAGAATAAAGAGGAGTTTGACAGGAAGAGCACAGCAAGACTGGAAAGGATCGATCGAGAGTTGCTTGCCATTCTACCTGCTGCTCCTCCTGAAAAAATCAAGAGAATTGAAGAGGCTGTTCAAGCTGGATTCAGTGAGGAAGACGTAGCATCATACACCTGAGAGAATCTACCAATTATTTTACAAGTACAAAATAATGCTTCCATAGTTAAGATTAAAGCTTTGCTGTCCAGTAGCATGTAATAGTCATGACAGCTCAGTTTAGATTATAGTATTGTTAATATCCAAACGTAGTCTTTATAACTGTATAAAATGTATTATCATTTTAATCAATAAACAAAGCAAATTAATTTAAACAAACATAAACTGAACAAGAAACATTATCTTATATGGATAAGTGTTTGCAGGAGTATCTGCATTAACAGAAGACAGCTGATACTGAGATTTTTAACACCCTCTCAATCCAAATCAAACTAAGTTTGTGTGTACAGAGATATAAAGCTCAACTGTACTTTGTTTCTGTGTTTACATTTTAATATCATATCATATAATACAATCATAGTCATATTATATGTTCAGCTAGAAAATGATTCTTAAAAAACACACTGTATAATTATGCATGATCTTTATGGAAAGTGAAAGTGACAGGAAATATTTGCTTTTAATAGATCTGTTTTTTATTTGCTTTTAAACTTGTTAGTAAGAAGAAATATATGTGGAATGTTTTTTTCTTTTTTTCTTTTTCCTTAGTATTTAGTTAATAAAGCATTTCAGTTGGCTGTGCATGATTTGTCCTTGAATAAAGATAATGTTAATAAAATATTTCCATGAAAAGACAATAAAAAAACAATACTGCTACTACTCTACTATTTACTGTTGCTTTGTTACTGTATCGCCTACTGATTTTACTTTTCTAAGCCAACTTAGAAAGTTACAAAAACTTTTTTGAAACTCACTGATTTGAGAAACAAAATCCCTCTGCATTTTTGTTTATAGTGTAAATATATACTTAATATCCTCTATGCCCCGCCTCTCTCAAATGCTTCGTTTTCTAAAAAGTCCCTCCTTCCGACAAGCGCAGTCTGCTCTGATTGGCCAGCTGATGAAGCTGGTATGTGTACCTTTATTTTTCCTGCTCTTTTCTTTTCGCCTATCAGTCTCTCTCTCTCTCTCTCTCTCTCTCTCTCTCTCTCTCTCTCGCTCTCTCTCTCTCAATTTTCAATTCAATTTAAGAGTGCTTTATTGGCATGACAAAAATGATACATTTGTATTGCCAAAGCAATTGCAGCTGGACTGCTTACAAATAGTACACATATATTAACAGAAAGAAAAAGAATAATATTAATTGTAATAGTAATAATAATAACATATAAAAAGTATTAAGCATGTAGTGCAAAATGAATTACTAATGTATGTAAGTATATAAACTAGAAATAAAAATAAAATAAGGGATTAGACATATTTACAGAAGCAAAATATACATCTAAGTAATATAATAGAGTAATTTGGCCTAATATAATGTAGCTGTGCTGGAAACATCAGTTCTTCTGTTCTCCTAACAGATACGTCACTTTCTCCTGGTCTGAGAGAGTTTGAAATGTCTGATGGATATTTTTACCATTAACGTTATTTACCATTTCAGACTGATATTTGCGCCTCACGTTTTTTTATTTGAAACTCATACTTGCATATGTTTTTGAAATCAATGTTTTCAGAGCAAAGGCAGCGTGGAGTGCTGGGATGTCAAAGGCAACAAGATGGCTGCAATACTAGGGGCGTAAAGTGAAGTAAGTAGAATTCACATTGATTTAATTGATAGGTTTTAGTGTTTTGCGAGATGTAAACCATCGTTTTATGAAAGGTTTGTTTAAGTAACTTACATTTCTTCATTTTTGGATGAATTGCTATTTTTGCAAATGTAGTGGCACAAATGTGTCTTCTGAAGCAGTACAATATTTTGGAATGAAATTTAAATCTGAACATTGATCAACTCATGCATACACAGCCCAGACAGATACTGGTTCTTTCACACCACGTGACTGACATCATGATATCCAGGATCAGTGATGTTTGATGTAATGTGTTTCCTAAAAATATTCAAAAACCGTGGCCGTTATCTAGTCAGTCCCGTGACGTCAGCCCGTCCAATCACAGCTGAGCGGAGCTCACTCAAAGAAGAGTCACGAAAAAGAACAGGTAACGTAAGCATTTCAAGCTTCTTTATTCCTTAAAAAAACTTTTGAACGTTTATGGTTTTTTGCCGTATCTTATTTGAAGATTAACCAGCTCGGCAACACTAGTGTATTAGTTAGCAAAGAGGAATTAACATGACATTACATCAAAGTTATCAACGGCAAGTGTTAAATATAGTGTTTTACACCACAGTTTGTCAGTGGGAAAATAAAAAACAGACAAACAAGTCCGATGATTTTTTGTCTTTTAAACCAGAAAGACGGCTGACAGATCTAACCGACACTCGCGCCACAGAAACTAATTGAACAGGTAGACAAACCCGCCCATTCACTATATTACAATAACTTTGAACTTTTTCTTAATCGTTATTTATGATCCGCTTCATCAGGTTCATCTAGCATATTCATGTGATGCTAATTAAGTTGCTGTTTGTGATGGCTGTTTTGCTAACGTCATTTACCATTTCAGACTCATATTTGTGCCTCGCGTTTTTTAATTTGAAACTCATAATTGCATATGTTTTTGAAATCAATGTTTTCAGAGCAAAGGCAGCGTGGAGTGCTGGGATGTCAAAGGCCACAAGATGGCTGCAATACTACGGGCCTAAAGTGAAGTAAGAAGAATTCACATGGATTTAATTGATGGGTTTTAGTGTTTTGCGAGATGTAAACCATCACTTTCTGAAAGTTTTTTTTAAGTACATTTCTTCATTTTTGGATGAATTGCTATTTTTGCAAATGTAGCAGCACAAATGTGTATTCTGAATCAGTACAATATTTTGGAATGAAATTTAAATCTGAACATTGATCAACTCGTGCATACACAGCCCAGACAAACACTGGTTCTTTCACACCACGTCACTGACATCGTGATATCCAGGATCAGTGATGTTTGAAGTAATGTAGTGTGCCACCATTTTTGATTCAGACTGTATTGGCAGAATGAAGAACATTAAATTTCAGTTTGCCTTTTATTCAGAGTCATTATGCTTCAGAAGAATACGAGTTGGGTCTTGAAAGTTATAGTTATAGTAGGCTTTCTTAATATGGATTGTGACTTATAACTTTTGTGTTATATTTCCACTTGCACTTATCTTAAAGTTGCTTTGGGTTTGTATAAAGGTGTGTTGATTTATTATTTATATTTATTAAATTATATTTATGTGGATGTTTTATTAATAAAAACACCCCTGAAAGTTTTTTCCAATTAAATCCAGTTGACCGACAGCTCTGGAAGACTTACAAAAGTTAGTGTAAATGTCATGAGGGAACCCACTGGATGTTTTGATTGTCTTTGAAGATGGAGAGGTGATGTCAACCAAGTCTAGGATCATTGCACTGCTGCTGCTTTTGCATTTTATGCCCTCATTTAGATTTAATTTCTCAAAGCAGCTTTACAGAAAATGCATGTGTCTACATTACAATTTAGCCTGACCTGTACTATAAATACTATTCTTTTCAACTTGAATAGTGTTATCATGTGATTTAAAGTGATGCTATATGGGTGTGCTCACATCTGTTGTATACTGTATGTTTGACTAATACACTGGAAGCAAGATGGAGAGGTGATGTCAACCAAGTCTAGGATCAGTGCACTGCTGCTGCTTTTGCACTTTATGCCCTCATTTAGAGTACACTAACTTCTCAAAGCAGCTTTACAGAAAATGCATGTGTCTACATTACAATTTAGTCTGATCTGTACTATACATACTATACTTTTCAACTTGAATAGTGTTGTATCATGTGATTTAAAGTGATGCTATATGGGTGTACTCACTTCTGTTGTATACTGTATGTTTGACTAATACACTGGAAGCAATATTGACGTGACATACTGATACAATTCCTCACGCTAATCGTGATGTTCATTCTATTAGGTAGTACGGGTTTAATACAGGAGATTTACAGTCTGATGAAAAAGTTTTATGAACATGCCCTCTGACCTTACCTCTTTTACTTTAATATATGCTGTTCTTGTGGAGTTTCCATACACAAGTACATCTGATGTGTGAGCGGCCATCAGGTGCAAGTGTAACAAAGAGCAATTCTTTATAGAATTGCAATATTTTTTGGACATGTGTAATTTAAAATAGTTTTGTATTGTTTTATTGTTTTTGTTTTGTTTTATTGTATTTATTTTACATTTGGAATAAAGTAAAAAAATCAAATTCAGCAAAAAAGTGAAGTTTGTGTGTTGCTGCTGTTGCTAAATGTTTTTGTGTTTGTTTCTTTCAGCGTTCTTTTTATTTAAAAACATGGTTGGTGCATTTTATGTTTTGCAATGCTAAAACCATTTGAGGTTTAAATAAACACTGTTTGAATTGTTAATAATGTGTCTCTGTCTGTCACTGAAGTTATGTATTTATTGTAATGACCTTAAAAAGTAGATTCAGCATTGGGGGGAAATTAGCATATTTTTACTCAAAAATAATGCATTTATAGTATATTGCTTGTGTGATTCAAAGACACTCATAATTAAATTGTAATGTACTCATAATACAAAAAAAGTACACTTTAATAGCACTAATCAAGCATGTAAATAGGCATATACTTAAAGTGTACTAAGTTGTTCCAATTTAGTATAGAAAAGTACGCTAAATACACTTAAAGTTATACTTTAGTATAATTTAATTACAACTAAAATACACTTAGTACAAAAATAGTTGATCCAAAATAGCACACTTCAAGTTAACTAATCATTAACACACTTGAAGTACCGTGTTGTCCCGAATATAAGAAGATGTTTTTTTCTTGGAAATACATCTGAAAAAACGCGGTCATCTTATATTCAGGGTCTAGACTTTGACATGTCAATAATACACCCACAACAATAGGTGGCGCCAAATACGCATAAAACGAGTGTGCCATGAAATACGTAATGTAATGCATGTTGTAAAGATCGCGAGTAAAAACAAAAGAAAAAGAAAACCTTACAGCTGCATGAGTCGTGACTGTCACGTTAGCCTGATGGGACCAAACTCCTTTTGTGATTTTAAAACGTAAGACAGTACCCAGATTTGAAGACTACAGTAAGATTTAACTTCTACTCTTAATAAGATTTTGGTAGGCTACTATTAGATGGATAATTCAGATGGGCTACCTGTTTTTTTTTTATGGTATATCAAAAAGTGTATATTTTTTTAAATGTGATTGTTGGTACATTTTACCAGTTTTTACCATACTTTCAAAACAAAAATTTAAATAGGAAAAATATGCAATATGAAAATAATTGAAAACAAAATGTGTTTTACTGAGAAAAAACAAGATTTGGCTTTTAAAAAGCCTTTTTCCAAAAGGTACATCTGGAAAAGGGGGGTCGTCTTATATTCGGGCCAATACGGTATACTGACAATTAGTCTGGCTGCAAGTATACTTGGTATACTTTTTTTCACTAGGGTAGAGTGTTCATGTTGACAAACTGTTGTACACTCCCCTGCACACTGAACATGAAAAACACACAAGAACATAGGGTTCTTGTTCTTACATGAGAGAAAACATAAGTATGTAAAGTGTGTAACTCTGGTTGGCCTGGTGGGTATTTAATGAGGCCCATACAAGCATGGATCAGATTCGCCTCCATACTGCCCAGGTTCCAGATTACATGAAGACTGCTGTGAAGATTCTGTTCCAAGGCGATGATGAAGTCGTCAAAGCTCATCTTCCTGATCAGTTGGACAATAAACACTGAACACTGAACATGAAAAACACACAAGAACATAGTGTTCTTGTATGAGAGAAAACATAACATTTTTACATTGAAGAATTTTAGGAAAAATGCTGGATTAAAGGTGTCATAGAATGCATTGATACAATATTTTAAATTGTTCTCTGATATCTACATAGAAAGTATGTGGCTTAGGTAAGGGCAAACGGTTTTACATGTCCATTTACAACCCTAGGATTTGTCCAGAAAGAAATGGTCTGTTTTTACCTTATTTGGAATGGTCATAATAATGTTGAGCTCTGCTCTGTTTGGCTGTTTCACAGTGCGGCTCATTTCAGTAGCTCACACAGCAGGAAGGAAACACAAGGAAAATATATATTTCAATACTTTTTCTCTCGCAGTTATATCATTGGCTAATGAACTTAATCCAAGACAGTTTTGCTGAAAGGGGGGCAAGGCAGGCTGGATGGATGTGCTTCTGGGCAACGGGCATGGAATTCCTGAAATATAAAGTGTGAGAGCGCGTCAGCTTTGTTTTTGATATGAAGTAGGTAGGCAGCTTTGAGGATAAAATTATTGTTAACGCAAATGCTTGTGAGATGTCTAATTAAACGGTTGATAAAAGGGGTATCGGAGCGGCCTTTATTGAGGATATTGAATGTGGATTTGTCATTACAAAGAAACGGAATCTATTTGCGACACCATTCCCAGGTGAAAAAGACATAGTATTAAATGTATTAAAAATATACTTGAAATTCAAGTAGTATGTTTATAATACATTTGTATTCCCAGCATGCTTATTTGAAGTGCAATAAAATATATTGAATTGCATTTTAATATATTTCTAAAAAGTATACTAGAAGTAGGCCTACTTTTGTATTAAATATATGCTTAGTTATACTTCTAAGAAATATGCTAAACAGAAGCATACTTTTAATGTATTTATAAAAAGTATACTAGAAATACTTTGGTAATAAATATATGCTTAGTTACATTTTAAGGAATATGCTAAACACAAGCGCCTTAGTATATTTCTAAAAAGTATAGTAGAAATACTATGTTAATAAATATATTTTTAGTTACACTTTTAAGGGATATACTAAACACGAGCATACTTTTAGTGACTTTTTAGTGTATTTACAGAAAACATACTTAGGTTACCCTTACTTAAAGTATATTTTATGTCTACTTTGTGTAAAAACATAACAAAATGATTACACTTTTAGTGGGGTGTTAATGTATCAATGTACAAACGTTTGTCAACTATTATTAAGCATTGTGATATTTAAAATATGTTGTTCAGTTTTACTTAAAAGGTTATGCTACTTTGGTTGATTAGGCTGTTGTTCATTACATGATACATTAATAGTAATAAGCTAGGTGTTTATAAATTTGTTCAAGCTTGACGCCTTTATTTTCTAATATATATTTCTGAAATTCCCACAAGGATTTCAACATCATATACGAAAAAAATAATAATAATCTTGCGCTTACTTGTGTATATTCAAACAGCACACTGACTAAACCTGATTGGTTCCAGAGCCATTGAACGGCTCTGATTGGTTCGCATGATAATGAGCTCACCCCAGAGAGCTTCGCATATAAAATATGATGTGTGTGCAAATGTGTCTTGAATATGAATATAAGTCTAAATTTAAACAGTATTATATAGCGCGGTCGCGATCGTGTCTCTTTAGGGCACTTGGAGGAAACCACACAATTCATATGGATTACTTTGGCGATGTTTTTTTTGCGATTTCAACTTTTTGAAACGTGAACATCTTTGATGAATCTTCTTTCATCGGTTGATCATAAATCTCTCAGATTTTTATTAAAATATCTCCTATTTTCTTTTGAAGATGAACGAAAGTCTTAGATCGTTTGGAGCATCTTAAGGGTGAGTGATGACAGAATTCAAATTGTTTTGGGGGAACTATGAAATTAATTAGA